TTCACACAAAAAACTAGATAGGTTTGCAAACTGGCCTACTGTCGTTGTGGAGGATCAGTTGCAGACTGAATCCGTTTTTAGGTCTGAGGTCAATCAAACATTTTCTTTATACTCCAAACGGTAACGATGTTGAGCAAAATCGGTCCTTCAAAACTTTCTTCCTGAAAAGAAGTTTTTCAAACGTTAAAACTAACTTTTCTTTAGTTAGTTCGGTGTCCTCTATTCAACCACATATAAATATATCAAAAAGAAAAAGTTAATGAAGCTTCGAATTACGAGCGTCTTACTTACAGTTGGCATGGGCATATTCAAAGCCACGAAACGGGACATTCTGCATATAAATCAGAAGTTGTGCAAAATCAGGATGCATCACCTAAGCGTTCAAGAAGATGAAAAAGTGTTCGGTAGAAAAGGAGACAAATAACATACTTCACTCAATGGATCAATGGGCGAATCATCTTCATCTTCTTGTTGTAGCGTTACTGTTGTTCTCGTACGTTGTGCTATTTGTCTACTCTAAAGGGCGCTCAGAAATAAACATGAGACACAGTAAATAGCCTATACTCACTCGTAGTAAAACTTTCATTTTCAAATCTTCTGGTGATGGTAACACAGATGGATTCGTAGTTGGTAAGGCTTTTGTTAGAAGATCTTCTAAATGGAACAAAACTCGAAAGATTAATAATAAATAAATTATGAGCTTTTCTACCTTCTAGTATTTCTTTTAGAACGCGTGCCATTTCTTTTTGCTGCCCAATTGAACAATGATTCTCGATATTTAGTATCACAGGATACCTAGCAGGAGAAAGAGTATTTTTTTGTGAGCGAGTTTAAATTGTTGAGATTCCAGTATAGTTAAAAAAATTGTAAGTAACATTTTCACTGAAGATACGCCATTTATAAAGAGCATACGCGTACTGAGAATCGGTTCTGCTTGTTCTTACTCCGATGCTTTCCAAAGATTTGGTTTTATTGTCTGAATAATTGTTTCAAACAAACACGGACGAACTAAGGTCCAAGCATGCTTAACAATCGGTCTGCCATCAGGACCATCATAACAGTCAACTAAAAACAAATGAAAAGTGAGGAAAATCTCTTATACTATAAAAAGACATTAAAATGGCAAGAAACAGCTTACGCTCAACAGCTCGTCCTCCTTTTAACAAAACACGATTATATGCTTCAGCGTTGCTGTCACCATAAACTTGACTTTGAAATAAATATCTGAACAAATGGTATTAATTTATTTCTATTGCAAGTTAACCCGTGTTTTATCTTACGTATTATGAGATGTATTTATGTAATAATGTGTTAATGGTCTAAAGAATAAAGGATTACATCTTATAGCAACCAAAAACGATATTTTTTCTCTTGTACTTCGTCATGTCCTGATATGGTCGTTGTGCACACGATTGTTTCATTAAATCAAACTCTTCACTCAACATTAAGTTTCGAAAACCTATAAGAAACATATCAATTCATAAGAGGGTCTTCTATCGCTCAATTTTCTCGTTACACACCATCAATGCCTAATAAATGTTGATTTCTCCATTGTAGATTCATTTCATACTGTTCGATCATACTTAATGCACGCTCGCTCGTCATATCGTATTGCTAAAACATGAAGAAGTCTTCAAGTTCGCACTCAGGCTAACCACATTAAGAATTTTAGACTAACATCTTGCACGTTTACCAAAAAAGTTCTTAATTCATACACATCCATTACTATTGATTCATCAGGCTGCATTTTACTGTTGTTTACATAACTAGTAACGGAAAGCATAATGAACGATTATCTTACCCATAGTAGAAAAGAAATCAGCGTTATTCTCACTAGGTATGCACCAGTTTTTAACTGACGTTGGCCCCATCACCAGTTAAAAACTGGTGCATTCACCTAATTCTCACCTTTGCATTACTTCAAGCAAATCTCGTCGCTTTGTTAATAAACGAAAAAAGATGAGAAACTCCTGTTGATTCAATAAATCATCATGATTCATATCAGCTTGCTTTTAAAAAAGAGAATAAGGTCATCCGAACAGGGTTGCTAATCAATATACTCTACATACGGAGAACATCGAATTAAATAACTTGTCGGACACTCTTGTGTTCAATACATCGGTTAATAAGCGTTTACATTCTCGTTTACTTAGTTCACCCGATCCATCTCTGTCACCTGTATGAAATTGATTTACTATGTAACTAGAAACAATAAAAATCAACCATGCATGCTTAACTTTGGAATGAAATTTCTTTTTGAAGCTTTTTAGCGGTCTCCATTTTCTCGTTGGCTCCTACAGGCTAGATAGATTATGTTTAACTTGAAAATATCGATTTCTTAGAAGTTTGAGTGGTTGTGCCAGCTTCTTTTCATCAAAAGTATATATCTCGTAATCTTACGAATCGGTGTTGACGAAAGTTCTATGACCGCTGTTCGAGCAGCGTTCAGTTAAATGTTTTAAACCCATAACCCATAAATCCCGCATTTGTTTATTTTCTGCCATAAGATGTAGCTCTTTTTGATGATTATTATACATTATTGTAAATGCACAATGTTCCTGAAATAAATGCAACTAGTATATATATCGAAAAATTTATTCCTTGCTAAACTTACATCCTCCTGTCTAATTCGCTTTCGTTTCAATAAACGTTGAAATGTATCGCTTCGAAAACCTTCACGAATTTCATCAATTTCTTTGATTAAGTCTATATCAAAACATCAAAAATAAAAGTATAGGAGTTCGACGATAAGAGGCATTTGTGCTTCTTACAGTTTTTTGGTTTTGAAAATAACTGTTTCGTGCTCGAATATGATGATAGAACATTTTCGTTGTTGTATAAATAAAACTGTCGTGAATATTTTTTTCCATTCGATTTGTGTTTCCACAGTAGCATGCCATGTTTCATATTGTTCAGTGTATCAGATATAATTCGGCCAGTCTCATCGTTTCCAAACATGATCGTCGGGGAAGTTATCTCGACTCTATAGAAAAGTGCATCAGCGCAGACTTATCTGCTAGTTCCTTTTAATGCCAGATCTTAGTTGTTATTTATCTCTCCTCTGAATTCGTAATAAAAAATGTGAGACAATGTTTTTGCGCTTACCATTGCTGGAGTGGGAAATGTACCGTTAGTTTTGCCTTACAGAACTGAATCAAGTGCAAACAACTTTGACGAACACACCAAGTTTGTATCTGACAGTGCTTACCAAGCGATTTCTACGAGATCTTTTACTGGGCTTGTAATGTTGGGTGATTTTAACGCTCGCTATGATAAGTGGTGTGATATAAAATCTTCAGCATTGGAAAGTAAATGGTTTTTCTCTTTTGTTGACGGAGCTGGGCTACATCAACTACAGTAGTAGGACAACCTTATCGCCCGGTATCAGAAACATGCCTTGATCTAGCGATCTTTTACCAGTATTTATCAAATAACACTATGCCTGCCAAACTTTCTCTTTCGAGAAGAACATGTAACTGTAAAGCTGTAGATTGAAATCATTATTTGTATCTACTAATGAAAGTGCTCAACAACAGTGCAGTAAAGTTTCACAATTCTGATGTTCAACCCCAGTCTGATTTATTGGTGCAATATAATCTACATGTAGCAGAAAACGATTACCAGACATTTGGGCGCCGACGTTTGAGCGCGCGCGACATTTGGGCGCGAACGACGTTTGGGCGCACCACATTGAGCGCATCTACGACAAAAGCAAACAGAAGTAGTGCATTTGTTAAAGTATGCTGCAAAACGATAAAATTCTCTTTAAACAAACTTTTTATGCTGTGAGAGCTTTTTCTATATTACTTATATCCAACTGTAACCACTGTTTCTTTAATCTTCATCGATACTCACACTCACACTCACCCTCACCGCCACCGGCGTCTTTGAACTTCAACTATCGTTGCGCCCAAAAGTCGTGTAATACATTGTGCTCCCAACTGTCGCGCGCGCCGAAACCTCGGCGCCCAAATGCCGGTATACCAGCAGAAAACACCATTCCGAACAAACGCACACTGATACGAAATAGAGATCAACTGCGGTTTACTGACGAATTGCCTGATTTGTATAAACTAAAAAATAAGCTTTTTAGACAATACAAATACAGTTTATTCAACGGCGAAAGAAGATCATTTCAAAAGAATTAATCAAGTTAACAGTAGTGGTAAATACTGGTGGAACTTCTTCAACATAACATACGTAAAACCAACACGTGATCAATAACTGTTCTTCAGAACGCTAACTGTTGATTAGTTTATGACGACAAGGAAAAAGCTCAGTTTTTAAACGGGCATTTCGCTTTGTATATACTTTGTCAATTGCAGAATATAATACTAAAATTATTCCAAACAGCATACTTGACGTTAAAGTATCATTTCCGCTATTTTACATTTTAAATCTTATTTCGAACAAAATTATGGTGTACTGACCATGTATTATTGTGGTTTTTTTATTACATTGTGAGTAATCCTTTTTTTACGCCATTTTTCCCAAGAGATTGGAAGAATTTTATCTCGATTTGATGTTAATAAGCTTACCGCTCCAGGTATAAATAACCGTTTATTGTGAGAGTCTTCATCGATTATCGCTGAAGATGTTACGCATATCTGCCGCAGCTCAATTTCAATGTCCTCATTTCCTGAATCTTTGCAATTAAGTTATGTTACAGCATTATTCAAAGATGGAGGTAGAAGGGTGCCCAATAATTACCGTCTAATTACATTGCTGCCAGCTTTGTCAAAGGTCATCGAAAAATTCGTTAATAAGAAATTGTATGATCAGTTGAGATTGAACAAACTTCTATCCGTCTTTCAATCTGGTTTTCGAAAGAAACACTCAACCGTTCATCAGCTGGTTGAACCTGTCCATTCAATATACGAGGACCGAACTTCTGATAAAGATATAGAGATTGTTTTCCTTGACTTTCAGAAGGCCTTTGACAAAGTCTGGTACAAGAGGTTACTTTATAAATTGGGAAAAAAGGGTGTTTTTATCGAACTTGTAAGTTGGCTTGAAGATTATTTGCTTAATCGAAAAATCATACCAGTAGTTGGCGGTGCACAATCGAATCCACTTCGTGTTAATTTTGATATCCCGTAAGGCAGCATACTGGGTCCCCTTCTATCTTTTAGTTACGTCAGACCAATGATAGTGGACCAAATCTGAATTCAAAGACGCATATGTTTGCTGATAACACACTGCTTTATTACACCCAAGCAAATATCATCTATGAGAAAAATCTAGATACATTTTGTCTGTAATCAGGCGATACACGACTAGTTGTCATCTAGATTACTAGTTGGAAAAGGGACTTTTAACTAGATGCGTCTGCAGGCGCATGTAGCGGTAGTTGA